GACCTCCATTATTTCAATGTCAGCAGACAGCAAGAAGCCTCCCAGATCTCCAGATGCATTTGAGATATCAAAAAAGTACTCCAGAGTTTTGTTCAGCATGGGGGTGAGTAGAAAATGAAGGCTAATCATGTTTTGGGTGTACTATTCCTTTAAGTGCATTCGAAAAACTAACAAATAAATCAGAGGATTATCTTTTGGTTGTTGAGCCGCATCTAATTAAGAGTAAAGATTGTTTGACGATGCTACAAGAAAGAAAAAAAGTATCTATCAAAAAAAAAAAAAAGAAAACATGTGGCTTGGCATGCGTTTTTACATGGTAAACCAAAGACCAAACTGACCTTTAAAAAAGAAATACGAAGGTTAAAAAAATTCTAACTCTTTCAAAGAATTACAATGTTGGAACAAATAGTCATCAAATATTTTTTTTTCTCTTTTTTCTGCTCTGCTTTAGAAGATTTAACTACAAATATTGAGGAAATCTTGAGCACTGAGTGTAGAGCTCCCTTGTACAAGTCAACAGTGTTGATTACAAACAAAATCCTACAGAGTGAAGCAAAGCTACTACTTGTCCACTCCAAACCTTGGATTACCGTTTGGATATGCCACAGTGAAATAACCGAAAATGTCAAGTGTAATTTAAAGTGAAAAGCAGAAAAGGGCAAAGATGAAGTGAGAGATTTTAATAAGAAGAGCTGCTTTTACTGCATCGGGAGATTGTCCAGTGCTTTCTTAACATATTTCAAGTGTGGGAGCTGTTAACTAAAGTCTTATATTTACATTTAACTTTGACGTAAGTGTTGCTAAGCATTCGGGTGGTGAGTTCACACCGTACGGATAGTAATCACATACCAATTACCACAGTAAATATCATCAGCTTGCAGCCAAGACGAAAGCAGCCTGTGGGAAATTCTTATAGAAAAGATTTTTTAATGACCCAACACTACAAAAGGTTTTCTCAATCAACCAAATCACAATGTTAAAAATTTACTGGGGACCACTCATCCAGCTTCCCTCAAAATGTCAGGTGAAGTTATTTTGTCCACAGCCAAATTATGAAATCTGCTGCCTGTACCGACAGAAAGACCTTTTTGATCCAGATCCTCTCACTTCAATTACTGGAGTTCTGTGCTTTCAGCACCTGATGCTCCAGGATAGGTAGAAAAACAACAGAATGAAAAAAAAGAAAAGGAAAGCAGGGGCCCTTAATAAAAAAAGGAGTCTGTATGGATTCAGCTGGGGTGTCTGCTAAAGGGCATCAGAGCATTGGGCTTCCAATTTTCTTTTCAGAAGAAAAGAAAAAAAGAAAAATGGAAAAAAGACTGAGACAGAGGCTCGGAAACAAACAAGATGGGGGCGACACCTGCTTGTGTGTGCATTTTACAGAGACCAGACCACTGTATCTCATTACCGGCAAAAACAATTGCAGAGTCGTGACTGCAATACAAACGAGGTGTATGGAATATATCAGCGCAGCTTCCGACAATTTGTAGACAGATGATGAATCAGTTGAAAATTGGAGGGATGAAAAGTCCAAGATGCTTTTACTTAGAAAATTATCCCTGAATTTTTAGAAAACATCAACAGGATGCCATCAAATTTATTGGAACAGATCGTACTTTCCATTCACAATGCAGAGTTTTTCAAGACTCAAAAATACAACACTGATACTGTTTAAGGTAACTGATCCACTTATATATGAGGTCTGTGGCTTAAATTCATCATTTTAAAGCAGCCATGTGTCTGTAGGGTTTGTTAAAATAATGCAGAATAACATTTTCTGTAGTAAAAAAAGAGAGATTACATGATAACTGACAATGGGGCATTACCTGCCTAATTACGGACACGGTTTTCTATCCCAAACACTTACAGAATGCACACAGGTGTACACAGATAATTAAAAATGATGAATATGCATACATCTTCGCAATTCCAAAAGGCTCAATAATGAGTGAGCTCTATCACATCAAATCACAACCCTGCTTCCAGTAATTGGCTGCTTTTTCAGTTGCTAATCTGACCAAAACATCTCTCTCAGTGGACCCAGTCATTAATTAGTAAAGTAATGAAACCAGCTCCAATAATATGCTGATAAAATGACTTCGTATTTTCTCCTCTTTTTTGCCATTTAAGATATGACCATTCAAAGAGAGAAAACTTTGAATTATTTTACTATTCAATAGTTTGATCTATGCATCACAGTTATTATACTAAGAGGCTAAAAAAGAACCACATAGTTACTAAAATTTTGATAAATAAAAAATTTCCTATGGTTAATTTTTTTCAAAGGGTGACATTCTATAGTAGGTTTAAAGACACATATTGTTGGTTCTTGTTTAACTCACCACACCCGGGAAAATTTTGTTGAGGCGGTCAACAGCTGCCATAGCTTTTGATTTTCCTCCTCCGAGGCAGTCCTCAAACTCATAAAGCGGTTGTCGAACTGGATTGGAGTACGAGATGTTTGCATTGTCAACAAAAGTGATGTGTCTCACTCCCCAGCCCTGGAACACAGACAGCAAAAATACAAGTTTCATTCAGTTGATCTTATTCATAGCTGTACTTCCTTTTGGATTTCGGAGAAGGTGGGACATGTTTTTTTTTTATTTCTAAATCACAGGTACTGTAGATTCTACACACTTTTCTTTTACATTCTAATCACTCAATGCAATAAACCAAGCAGTGCTAAAGCTACACAAACTCTTTATTTGCATACAAGTTAACTACTGACACCATCAGCTAATTGTTAATAGAGCAAGTAAGAGAGAGATTCTTTTTAAAATAATTTGTATCACACGTTGACAGAAGTCTACGTTTTACTCGAAGGCTGTAAGACAGCAAGACAGGCCAAGACTTTTGGCAGGTAACAGGGAGGCTAAGTAATAAGAGAAAAACTCTCTCTGTTCGTGGAATAAGATGGGTTTGTGAATGTTGGCAGTCTTTGAATACCTAAAAGTTTAGCTTGGGAGGTTATCTTTTTATATTCTTGCTGCTCCAACCACAATGTTTGCCAATTAGATTCTCAACAATGCAACCATTTTTTTTTTTTTTATAATTGCAAAAGTTAGGTAAAAAGGGGGAGAGGCCATCTAGACTATCAATTATTAATCATCTTATTATTACCACCCCAGTACCACCCCAGGTTAAATCAGGTTCATCACTGGACAGGGCCTGTGGTGACTGCACAGCAGGGGCAGACAAGTTAATTGTTTTGGCTGAGGGCTTCTGGGGGGCTGCACATCACTCATCCTGTGAAACCCGTCCATCAAGTTCTTTCCAATAATTCAGAATTTAACTCTTTGCCATTGACCAGCACTTCAGACAGGACCCCAATTCCTTCAACAGCGCCCATACGAGGCTCTTCAGGTTCAGCACTGGACAGGGCCTGTCCAGTGCTGAACCCGATTTAACGTGGTACTGTCCAGTGCTGAACCTGATTTAACCCTTAGTGTGGTACTGTCCAGTGTTGAAATGGCTGACACCTTGTCTGCCCCTGCTGTGCACTAAAACAATAAAACCCTGAGTCTTATTGCACCAGCAGTCACATCGGATAATTTCTAATACTTTTGTTACCCATCTCCACAAGAGAGGCAGGAAGTTGGACAAAGTACAACTGAACACTACAAATAATTAATGACTACTTACAGCAAGAAAGCTAGAAATATATATCTTCATATCTTTTTTACAGAAAATCTTAACAAGGAATTGGCTAACATTGAGACATGCAGATCAAAGCGTTATAAAAACCTGAGATGGGTGCACATATAGGTAAAACAGCTATACTAGTCTAGTTCATCTTTGCAATTGTTTTATACCACAGTTGGTTAATAGAGAGTCTATTGAAAAACATAATCAACATTGCATCCAGGTTTTCTATATTCAAACACACAGGATGTCTCAGCTAATAAATAGGTATAGAATTAAAAAGCTCTACCTTAATAAATTGTTTCTAAATTTGCAATTATACAATGTGAAGCAGGGGATTTTTTTTATTTTTTTTATGTTTGCTCAATGAATAGAATAAAGTAGTGAAAAAAGAAAGTTAAAGATGAAAATTACACAACTCCAGTCAACGTTTATCCTTCTGTCAACCTTACCATGAGAGTCCTGGCCACATTGCAGCCCAGTGTACCAGCACCAAGAAGAAGACACTTTGTGCTGACAACTTTGTCCAAATCCAAAGACGGAACCAGCCTCCACCTCATCAGTTTAAGATTCAGGTCCACTGATGACTCTGCAAGTCTGCAGGAAAAAAAAATAATAAGGAAACAACTACCTTTCATTTTCAGCTGCAACTAGAATTATTTAGTCTCCATCTATAAATTATGTTCATTTCCAGAATTAAAAATCATTCAAATGTTTCCTATAAAGAAAACACAGAGGAACAGTTAAAATATCAAAAAATTATCCAAAATCTACACTTATTTGACCTGCAGCCTCTACTAAAGTCACAACGTCATACAACTCCATTGACAAAGTAATTCCCAAGAGCAAATGTTTGCAACATATGTTTGATCTCAGGTACATTGGGGCTAAAATTCATAGAGGTGGGCTGTTAAAAGGTATCAATGCATGCAAAAGATATGGCCACCTCAGGAGAATTAACATAAATGTTTAGAAAATATATAAATTCTTTAAATAAACAGAGAGGACAACACTAAAGAGCATTAATGTTTGTAGAAATAGAACTGGGGACAAGGTTTATACATTTAATGTAAGATTAACTTTAAATTTATCAACTGGAAGTGGCATTAAGGAAAAGTCCTTATTGGCTGCAAAATAGTTTCTGATGAAGCAGAATGAAAAGATATACAATCACAGAGGTTTCAGCTATTATATTAAGGCAGGTACTGAATTCATAAGGGCTACAAAGGCAAAAAATACTGATTGAAATTTAAACTTGAAAATTAGCTAAATATTTTGGTATTCTATTCTCTAAAGCCATGAATCAAAATTAATGCTTTGGCCCCTTTGATCAAAAGAATATCCAGAAGCATACAATTCAAGAATAAAGCATGCAATACCCACAGTGAATCCCTGCTATAAATCAGAAATGTTTTGATACTCCCTGAATAAAAACATCTGCCTTTCAACAGGACAATAATCCCAAGCCTATGTTATGGTGCATCAGGGCAGGGTTTCAGGAGAGTTCCATAACAATTTAGAGATGTTATATCGGAGAACTGAATACAATCCCATAAGCTATTTAAGATTTAAAAATGGTAACTATGGCACACAATCTTAAACAATTGAGGAACTGGAGCTTTATCCCATGATGACTGGGCAAAGATTGCTCAGAAAGGTGCTAAAAGCTCATGTATGACAACGTCTTACAATCTGCAGCATGTAATAATAGTGCTAAAGTAGCTTGTCAGGAAAAAAATTAAGATAAATAAAAATGACACCTTGAGTTAGATTTGAAGAAATCACCTGGATTATTAATTAAGTTTACCATAGGGGTTTTATCTGTGTGGTTTTTTTTTCAGAACAGAATACAAAATAGAATAGAATAGAATAAAAAATAGAATATAAAAACTATTACTTAGATGTTTTTGCACTAAAATGATAAGTAAATTACACATAAGCACAGATACACATAAGGAAATATTTATTCTTTGTCAATGATGTGAATTGTAGAAGTTTTACCTTTTAGGGTCCATGCATTCACTCAGGTTTACCATTCGTGGTCCCATTGCCCCCTTTGGATTCTTCTCCCATCCAACACTTTTAAGACACACTGAAATGACATCAAGCACAAGCATATCAATTTTGTGTAGTTACAAAAATTGATTTTACACAGTTTTTTTTTATATTTAATCCTTGAGGAACAAATATAAAGTACTTGAATTATCTCGTATACTCTCCAGCTCTCTAGTAAGATATTAAAGTAAAATGAAAGCATCTAATTTTCAAGCCTACCTTTTAATTCAACCTAAGAAAAATAAAACACTGACGGGCATAACACACATAGAAACCAATAAGATATCTTTATATCTTTGCTTTGTGAATTGGCGTTACATAAATAAATTTGAATTGAATGACATCAAATTAATATTAGTTCAAAATTAAAATGGATTCCTTCTGTGAAAGGCCAAGATTAATAGCCTTGTCTGAAAATAAATGTAATAATTTATTGGTCTCTACAGATTACAATTTATTGCTGCTTCACTGTTTACTGCAATAGTCATGAAATACATACCTGATGCTGATTGCTGAAGAGTAAAATTAGCAAATAGGAATGGAAGTCGTGATACTTAAAATTGCTTTTGATAAGCTATATCTAAAAATAATAAATGCAGTGTTTTTTTAATTCTTCATTTCATTACTTATATTGTAGCAACGCTTCTACTTATGTTTATTTGAAAAGAAAACTAAATACAAGGTGGACTGGTTTTTCTATTTTGAAACACTAAATACATAGATGCAAACAGAAGAGCGGAGTTCATTATTATTGCTTGAACAAATTCACAGCGACTTAATTAAAAGCTGAGATGTGCTGACAGAGAAGGGTGACGGAAACAAAGACGCCTTGTGGAAATTCAACAAAAACCTCTTCCAGATCACATAGCACTCCACTCCCATGCAGCTACTACCATTTAATGTGTTTTCATTCCTAATTTGGCAGACAAAAGATAGCGCAGACTCATTGTGATTTTAGACTGAAGTGATCAATCCCTCTAAGGAATGTGAAATAAAACTTAGTTTGCATCAGCAGCAAACAGACACATCTATACTTTGGATGGACTGATCTATAAGTAAAAAAAGGTGTATTTTTTTGAAAATGGAAAAACATGTTGACAGACAAATAGAGTTGAGTTACCAGAGTTGTTGGGAAGCTCTGGTAGCTTGACCTGGAACACGACGCTGTGTTTTATGGAGCGGTTTCCCTGCAGAGTTTGGTCTCTGAAACACAGCAGTTCCACCACTTCCATCTCAGAGCCCCTGACACACAAAGGACATCATCAAAAGTCCAATAATGAAAACCACACTCTGCACAGGTGAAAAACTCCTTACTCAAAAGATTTTCAAAAAGTTAACTGAATTCCAATTCCCATTTCAGTAAGAAAAAAAAGCATATCAAAAGATCTTAATGTTATGCTCCAAGTGCTTTTTTATTGCACAATAAAATACCAACAGTAGCAAAGGGGAGAGATCACAGCTACTTCCAAAATCCTCATCTAATCACAGATTCTTTTTGTTTAACATAGAGGGAACGTATAGACTGACACATGCATGGAATCTCCATCCAGGTTTTAAAAATAGTATGACTATGCTCAAAGGGATATCCTTCATTATTGAGTTGAAAAACCTTTTTCAAACATAAGATTTCATGACACATAGCAAAAGGCTCATCAGAGTATTAAATTTAACATTTAAATTGATAGGGGAAAATTTGATGTCACTTTCTGATGTTTTACCAACAGTGTCTAACTCAGGATCATGTTATGTTTGTTATCCTTTTGAATTATTTATAGACTCCTGGCATATATCAATATAAAATCCAAAAGTACCAAGATAGAAAGTTGAGTTGCTTAATATATATTCATATATTTTTTATTTTATCTATGACTACTATCTCATACAAAGGAATACTAAGCTAATTAATTATAGCTGCGGCTATAATTAGTGAGCTGAAATCTAAATGTTAAAGCATTATTTTTAGGGCTGCAACTAATGATTATTTTGCAAATCGTTTAATCTGTTGTTTATTTTTTTTTGATTAATTAATTAATAATCAGATATCCAAAGGTCCACTTAAGAATACTTTTTAAGGAATCAAGTCAGGTGAAACTGGTTTAATCTGAAATGAGGATATTTTTTCTTTTTTCAAAATGTAAAATGCTTACTTATTATTTAACATGTTTGATATAATTACTGCCCTGTCAGCTAAAGGCATGTTTGGAGTCTCTTTAATACAGTTAACATTTAATCGATTACAAAATTAGTTTAGGATTTCAATAATCGATTTAATGTTTTAGCCCTAATCTGTACATTTATATCACTTTTAAATGTAATAAAAATGATATTTTTTCATTTACAACTTAATATTTTAAATCATTTTTATTCATATTTATAAAAACATCAATTTTTTTCATGTAGCTGTTCCTGCGTGTGGCTAATGTGCTGTAACCTTTACCAATTTTAAGTAATTTAATGTGATTAAATTGGTAGGCTTCTATGCCTGTTTACACTCAAGTCTTGATTTTACTTGTGTTTTAAAAATAAATAAGGAGAACTCACAATCATTTAGTCAAACAGGCTGAATATCATGAATCTGTTTTGCTTCAATCCATTTAGTTCCAAGCTAAATGCTGATGTCTTCAATTATTGTCCGGTTTTATAAGAAGAGTTCAGATATAAATGCTTCTCACGTGTCTCCACAATGTCATGGATGAATGACAGAGGAAAAGCTAGACAAATCATCATGAGCAGAAATAGAAATTTTCAGATATTATAACGTCACTGAGACCTTTGTAGGTCAGCCACCTGTCCATCACAGACAGTCTGGTTCAACAAATTCATCTCGGCCACCTGGGAGACAGAATTTGGCAGCATCACAAAGTACTGCTAACATCCTCTAAAAGACATCTTGCAATGGGGGAGGAAAGCCTTTAAAATACTGCTTAAAATCTATGAAGTGAGACTCAATTTTAATATGTTAGATTTTTTGAAAATTTGTGCACACATTGTTTTTTTTTT